CCAAAGGATTAGAAACAATTGGGCTACAGGGTAAAGTGAAGTGAAGTCGCTCAGTTGTGTCCGACTCTTTGCGACCCCATGGACTGTAGCCCACCAGGCTCCTCCATCCATGGGATTCTCCAGACAAGAGTACTGGAGTGGGTTGCTATTTCCTTCTCTAGGGGGATGTTCCCAACCCAGGGATCAAACCTGGGTCTCCCAAATTGTAGGCAGACGCTTTACCGTCTGAGCCACCAAAACCTCACTATTTACCATTAAAAATTATGACTCTCCTTGAATGGAATGATCAACACTTAAATCACTATGCTAAATGGTAAAGGTGAACACTCCTCTCTGAAATGAAAATCTTTTACAAAGCAATACCAAAAGCATAAGACATCTTCCAGTTACTACAAAAGACTGAAAAAATAATTCACCACCTGATTAAAGTACACATGCTGAAGATACAAACACTGTCAGTTGAAGTATGGCCTTAAATATACATGTAAAAACCTAACTAATTTGCATACAGTGTTGAAAAAGGGCTTTCTACACTTAGTTATGTCTGGTACATAAGCCTTGTTTTAAGACATGGGTTTTGTAAATATGGTTATTATTGAGGTCTCCATTTCTTTGGGAAATAAAGGATCAACATATTTTTTAGAAAAAACAAATATGTAAATCAATAATAAAACTATAATATTCAGTTATAACTATGGCTTCCTTGAACCTTTAAAACAATTTTTCCTGGAAAAATTAATCTGAAACAAACTGAACTACATGTTTTCAACATATACTGATCTTTATCATGAATTAAATCCTTCCATTGTAACTGCAGTTCTAGGGCAGACATTTCAGGAATGGTATGCAACAAATCCTATTAGAAATAAAGATGATATTAAATGAACAATAAGCCATTATGACTAATATCTGATTAATTTTTAGGGCCTTTTTTATCCTGACACCTTTCACTGGGAGTTCAGTGGTAAATTCTAGAGCATACGGATGTTCATAAGGACTGAACTTGTTTGTTGGTCTGGGCTACAGGGTAGCTATCTCCTTTTATGAACCTTTGAAGACCTGTTGCACAAAGTACATTTCAGGAGCTATTGGAGTCCTTCCTAGAGGAAAGAGTAGCAGTGGGTGGCTGTCTTGTCTCCTGGAATCACAGCATGTCAGAGGTTGACAAGGCTTTGAGATGTTCCCACTTTGCTTGACGTGGAGTTGCTGGAGTGACTCACTGCTGTTTACTCCTATGAGTCAGCTCTCCCCTGCAGGGGCCGGACCAGTTGCCTCTTGATTTGTGGGTGTTCAGTCACTCAGTTGTGTCCAGCTCTTTGCAACCCCATGGATTGCAGCATGACAGACTTCCTTGTCCTTCCCTATCTCCTGGAGTTTGCTCACATTCATGTCCATTGAGTTAGTGATGCCATCCAACCATCTTATCCTCTACCACCTCCTTCTCCTCCTGCCCTCAATCATTCCCAGCATAAGGGTCTTTTCAAATGAGTCAACTCTTCACATCAGATGCCCATTCAGTTCAGTTCAGTTCAGTCGCTCAGTTGTGTCCAACTCTTTGCGACCCCATGAATTGCAGCACACCAGGTCTCCCTGTCCATCACCAACTCCCAGAGTTTACTCAAACTCATGCCCATCAAGTCGGTTATGCCATCCAGCCATCTCATCCTCCATCGTCCCCTTCTCCTCCTGCCCCCAATCCCTCCCAGCATCAGGGTCTTTTCCAATGAGTCAGCTCTTCGCATGAGGTGGCTAAAGTATTGGAGTTTCAGCTTTAGCATCAGTCCTTCCAATGAACACCCAGGACTGATCTCCTTTAGGACAGACTAGTTGGATCTCCTTGCAGTCCAAGGGGACTCTCAAGAGTCTTCTCTAACACACTCAATATGCCATCAAATTTGGAAAACTCAGCAGTGGCCACAGGACTGGAAAAGGTCAGTTTTCATTCCAGTCCCTAAGAAAGGCGATCCCAAAGAATGCTCAAACTACCACACAATTGCACTCATCTCATATGCTAATAAAGTAATGCTCAAAATTCTCCAAGACAGACCAAAGTATTGGTGCCCCTCAGTTTACAGCCCTGCAACTGAATCCCTCTTGTGCCTTCTTCCCAGTCATTCATTCGCTCACCGTGGGTCTGGCCTCTTTGACTACCCTCACCATAGGCACAACCATCTCTTTCCCGTTTTGCTCACCCCCATCTTCCCAGCCCCTCCACATGCCCTCTGGACCTCATGGTGCACCGCTGGCAACCTCTTCTCCAAGTGTTCCCTTCCTCGTCCTTTAATGTAATGTAGCTGTCTCCTGAGGACGTTGCTTCTTGCATGGCTGTCTCACGCAGTGGCTGCTTTGTCTCTCATACACTATATCCTAGGGGCCCGAAGGTGGGGCGGTGTCCTCCTTGCTCCCCGTTACCACCTCCAGACTGCCTCTCCCTTCATCTTTCAGAAGCTCCATCCCCTCTGAAGCGAATGCCATCAGATACCAGAGTCCTTTCCCCTTGATGCTGCTGGCGGCTGTGACTCACTCACTCCTCACGTCCCCCTGCACCTGGCCCCATGCTTCCTCCCCCCTGTCCTGCCCTTGGCATCTCTGGAGATCAGTGGTTCTCCAAAGAGGTGTTACCGATCCCTGGGGGTATTTGAAAATGTATGAGGTTTTTGGTTTGTTTTCTAAAGTGGTTGTGCCCCAGCATTTATACTGACATTTGTACTATCCTGTTATAAATGACTCGCCCTTTGTTTTTCTGCACATAGTCTGTTAGGGCATTATATTCATTTAAAAAAGGAACCATAGTAGCTTAGCTATCTTATACAAGTTTCATTTCAGACAGAAAAGGGGATATTAAAATATATTTTTTTATGGGGACTTCCTTCGTGGTCCAGTAGTTAAGAATTTGTCTTCCAGTGCGGGAGATGCGGGTTCGATCTGTGGCCAGGAAACAAAGATCCCACATGCCGAGGGGTAACTAAGCCCTCAAGCTACAATTGGAGAAGCCTGTGCTCCACAATAGGAGAAGACCCTGAGTGCTGCGGCTAAAGAAAGCCCGCACACTGCAATGAAGAGCATGCATGCTGCAACAAAGCCTCAGCACCCCGCATTTTATATACAGAGAAACTATATAAACATATATATGTTATTTGTTATATATATGTTATGTATATATATTATTTGTTATATAACATATATGTGTTTATATATATATATATATTTTGTTATACAAAGAGGGCATTTGGTCTGAGAGCATTGAGGATGGCTGATGCAGTTAAGCTGCCCAACCCCTTGGCTTCCTCATTATTCCTTATCTTATTCCGTAAGACCTTGTCCTCCAGGTCACCTCAGCCCTGCTCAAGTGGTCACTCCACAAGAGTTCATCATCACCAAGAACCACCTCCCTTCAAAATCTGAACACCCTGCTGTCTGATCATCACCCCCTATCCTTATAGTTCACTAACTCACAATTCTCCAAATTCATAGAGACCTCCTGACATCAACCCTATCACTTTCTACTTATCAATTTTCATGTTCCTTATCCTTATTCTTACTTCCGTCCTTCCTGGTCTAGACTCCCTGGGCCAACCATTCCCTGTGATAACCATTCCCTTTGCAGACTCCATAATTATGTCCTGCTTTCTTTCCTGTCCTACTTGCTGGGGAAACAGATTCTGCTGCCACAGCCTGTGTGGTTTTTCTCCGTCTACGTCAGAGCCTGAAGTAGTCTTACTGGCTTGTTTTCATATCTACTGTGTTTCTATCTGCTGGAATGCCAGCTCTCTGAGGGCAGGACTCTGCCTGCCCTGCTCACTGTTATCCCAGAGCTTAGTAGGTAGTAGGCACACAATTTGTTTAGTTTTCCGGTTGCCTCATGCAGCTCTTTTCTGACTCTACACTGCCCTCTCTTTCAGCTATGTGTGTATTTCAGTTGTTTTCGTTTAGTCGCTAAGTCATGTTAAGACTCTTGCAACCCCTTGGACTATAGCTCACGAGGCTCCTCTGTCTATGGAATTCTCCAGGCAAGATTACTGGCGTGGGTTGCCATTCCCTTTTCCAGGGGATCTTCCTGGCACTGGTATTGAACCCGGGTCTCCTGCATTGGCAGGTGGGTTCTTTACTGCTGAGCCACCAGGGAAACCTGTGTATTTCAGTAGCATTGGGCTATTTGTTAAATAGCCAAAAGTGAGCCAGGGAAATTTTGGACGTTCAGCGGGTATGGAATTACTACAGGGTTTCTTTTATGTTACCTTTGAAGGCACAGGATTCGTTGAACACTCTGCTAAGTGCTGGGTGCCACGGACACATGATCGCAGGAGGGAAAGCTATTTGTATTAATACTATGCCTCAATGGACAATGAATTTGGACTTTGTCAGGCCGAGAAGTAGGAAGGATGGGGCCAAGGACGATGTGTATGTGCCCAGCTGTGTCATGTACCCAGTGTGGCCGCCTTGCACCTGCTTCCAAAGACTAGTGAGCCCAAAAATGTAGGGATGGTTACCACGCAGCCCACAGCTGAGAGGCAGGTTTGAAAAGAACAAGTCAAACCAATATAAATTCAGCTCACCCAACACCTCTGTGCTTAGTCACTCAGTTGTGTCTGACTCTTTGCGACCTCATGGACTATAGCCTGCCAGGCTCCTCTGTTCATGGGGATTCTCCAGGCAAGAATACTGGAGTGGGTTGCCATGCCCTCCTCCAGGGGATTTTCCCAAACCAGGGATCGAACCCAGGTCTCCCGCATTGCAGGCAGATTCTTTATTACATCTGAGCCACCAGGGAAGCCCAGGAATACTGGAGGGGGTAGCCTATCCCTTCTCCAGGGGGTCTTCCCAACCCAGAAATTGAACCGGGGTCTCCTGCATCGCAGATGGATTCTTTACCAGCTGAGCTACCAGGGAAGCACCCCCAACACCTCTACCCACTCACACGCAGAGGGAGGCCGGTCCCTCCCGGCAGTGACTTGCTGTCTCTTACCCACCTCTGTTTGTTTCTTCTCCCTGCTGCCCAGGCCTCATCATCCACGAGGGACCCTCTGTGTACCGCATCTTCAAACGGTGGCAGGCTGTCAACCAGCAGTGGAAAGTGCTGAACTATGACAAGGCGAAAGACCTGGAGGAGCAAAAGACAGGAGGCAGGACCAACCCCCGGACCTCCTCGTCCACCCAGGCCAACGCCCCCTCCTCAGAAGAGGAGGCCGCGGGCACCCCTGCCCCCGAGGAGGGCCCCGCCCGGGCGGCCAGCCACCCCTCAGGCCCCCTGTCCGATCACCACTGTGCTTACACCATCCTGCACATCTTGAGTCACTTGCGACCTCATGAACAGCGGACCCCGCAGGGCGGCAGCCGAGAGCTGGTCATGAGGGTCACGACGGTGTGAGCCGAGAGACCTGCGAGGGAGCCGTGACCACGCACGTGCAAGAGAGAGCGAGCTAGAAGAGGATGGGCCGGGAAGGGCTCGCCCCAACACGATGCCACCGCCGTCTGGGCAGCAGGTGTGGAGAGGCACCCAGGGGCCGGAGGGCGGGCAGAGGGGCGGTGGGCCTTGAGGGCCCTGGGGCAGGGTCGGAGCTGGAGGGAGGCTGGTGCTGTGAGCGGGTGATTTTCAGCAAGTCGATTCCATTCTCCAACAAGAGGGAGGAAAACCAAGACAAACGCAACAACGAAGTGCAATACAGACTGAGTCTAACAAAACACAATGCACCCACCTGTGCCCCACCCCCTGCTTCGTGCAAAACACCTGGGCAAAGTGGTGGCTGGGGGAGGGGGGAGAAGCTTTGTGTCTGGTGGTGGTGGCGGCCACAGGTGCACACGTGGGAACAAAAGCACTTGTGGCCTGTCCTGTTTTAGCCCTGAGCTTGCTTTGGTTTCCTCCTGGGCTGTGTTCCAGGGGCAGTTGAGGGGGGTGGGAGAGGGATGGGTGTGGGCTGGCAGGGAGGAGATACATGGTGTTTGTGAACCCCTGGGCTCCCCTGGGTGGGCAGGATTCCTGACTCGAGGGCCTGGGGGGGACGATGGCGCAAGGAGGGAGATGCTGGTCTGAATGGCCAGAGGGAGGGGGGTTTCTTGCTCCCTCCAAACCTTCCAAACTGGAACTCCGAATTTCAGATGGGCTCAAAGAGGGCTTAGGTTTGGAGTTGGGTGTCTTTTTGTGCCCTTGTTGCTTTATTTTATGGTGATTTGGCTCAAAGATGTTTACAGGAAATACGCGCGTGCACACACACACACACACACACACACACACACACAACTAAAGTACAGATCTCCCATGGGTAGCTCAAGCACAGTCCTGCTGCTGTGGCTTCAGCCTCAAGCTGTCAATCCAGGAGTGATTTTCCCGACCACGCAACCCCACCCATGGCCGGGACACGCTCTGTGTCACTGCCCCTCCTGGTTTGGCACATGCTGAGACCCCAGGGCCCCTCACGGCAGGACACATCCTGCCCAGGGTCTCCCAGGAGAGCTGCTGCAGTGAACGGAAGGAAGCTGGCCAGATGCGCCCCCAAGGAGTGGAGCGGAGACCCATCTCAGTATTCCTTGCTGTCGGGGCCCATCCCCAGGGGCAGTTCGGCTAGTCCCTCAGTGCTCCGTGCTCCCCGGTCCCTCCTGGGCAGCAGGGAGGGCCCAGGGACCCTCGCAGGGAGCACTGTCCCTTGAGCCCACCTGCTGGTTCTGGGACCCTGCCAGGGAAGGCCACGGGGTGGCCACCTGCAGTTCCTCCTTGTCGTTGCACAATAGCCGCGTCATCCGTGGGTATTAAAGGGACACTGTCAAGTACTTTTTTAAACTAGTTTTTAGGGTTTTTTAAAACTCTCTGTTGTTTGTATTATTCTCTTAAAGCTTGAAAATAAAATTTCTTTCCCTACCACGAGTGTCCTTCTCCATCTGTGAGTTGTTCCTTTCTCTGTCCTGTCCCCCTCTATGGTGATTTCCCTCTCCCTTGTGTCTGCTTCACCCCTAGAATCTTCTCCCCCACAATGAATTGTTTCTCCTTTGTGGGTACAGATGGGGTGGGGCAGGTGTGTGTGTGTGTGTGTGAACCTACAGGAAGTGTTGGGACTCCTGGCTTCTTCTTGGCTTCCTAGCAGGTGAATTCCTTCAAGTCACAAAGAGGACCAACTCCCCAGCTTTCCCCAGGTTTCTGCCTGTGACTCCTAGAAGCAGAGATAGTCCTGGGAGGAGATTTGGAGTTTTCACTCCATCAGGTCATTTGAGAGAAGCTGAGAGAATCACAGGTGAGGGTCATGTTAGGACCTCCTTCTCTTGACAGTTTTCTTTAAAAAAAAAAAAAAAAACCTTTTTATTGTGGTAAAAGTGACATAATATAAAGCATACTGTTTTAACCATATTGAACTGTATTAAGTACTAAGCACTTAGTACTAAGTACTTAGTACTAGCAGTAAGTACATTCACATTGTTGTGCAATTCTCAGTCATCCATCTCCCGAATTTTCCACCTTCCTAAACTCAAACACCCCATTCTCCCTCCACACCCCTCCCCACTCCCAACCTCTGGCATCTACCAATGCACTTTCCGGCTGTATGAATTAGACTCTTCTTGGTACCTCGTATAAGTGGAATCAAACAGTTTTCTGACAGTTTTCCTTTGAACATGAGAAAACGGCTCCCAGGGCAGAACTCCGAGAGAAGGCTCAGACATATCACTAGGCCTCAGACAAGACCTTCCTTCCCTCTCACTTGATCTGGTCCTCCTCCCTAGGGGGCTGGGGCAGTCAATTAGGAAATGTCATCAGTGGGATGCATACAGATTTAGAAAGTTTCCTCCTCTGATGAAGCTCACAGTCCAGAGGGTTAGAAAAGACGAATGACTTATACAGAGCGAAGTAAGCCAGAAAGATAAAGACCATTACAGTATACTAACACATATATATGGACTTTAGAAAGATGGTAACGATAACCCTATATGCAAAACAGAAAAAGAGACTCAGATGTATGGAACAGACTTGTGGACTCTGGGAGAAGGCGAGGGTGGGATGTTTCAGGAGAACAGCATTGAAACATGTGTATTATCTAGGGTGAAACGGATAACCAGCTCAGGTTGGGTACATGAGACAAGTGCTCGGGCCTGGTGTACTGGGAAGACCCAGAGGGATCGGGTGGAGAGGGAGGTGGGAGGGGGGACTGGGATGGGGAATACATGTAAATCCATGGCTAATTCATATCAATGTATAACAAAAACTACTGTAATGATGTAAAGTAATTAGCCTCCAACTAATAAAAATTAAAAAAAAAGAAAAAAAAAAAAGAAAAGACGAATGACTAATAAGACACCAAAGGACACATACAAAGAAGACAGACAAGTGAAAACCAACAAAGCCGTACAAGTACCTTATGTAAAGTGAAGGTGTCTGTTTTTTCATGTGCTCTAGGAATGGGACATTCAGTTTAATTAAATATTTGTGAAAAATATAGATGTGTCCAGACATGCGTGATCTAATTTCAAAAAAGTATCAGAATACAGCAAAGTATGCACGTCATCAAAACTATAGTGGCTGTTATCTCTCTTTGGTGATTCACTGATTTGTAGGGCACTTCAGAATCTTGTGCTCATGCAGGCTCATCATTCCGGATATGCTGTTTGGAAGAAGAGGTGTTTAATGAGAAGTTCTAATAGGATGCTGAGTTTGTTGGATCTTGGTGATATAAGCACCAAGAGATCAAAGACCACATCTGTCTCGTTTACCACTATATATCCAGGACCTACAGACTTATGGCAGTGTCTGGCATACAGTAGATGCTCAATAAATGCTTTTTAAAAAAATTTTATTTATTTGGCTGCACCAGGTCTTAGTTTTGGCACTAAGGATCTTCGATCTTTGTTACATACAGATTCTTTAATTACAGCATGCAAACTCTTAGTACCACATATGGGATTTAGTTCCCTGACATGGAATAGAACCCGAGCCCCCTGCACTGGGAGCTCAGACTCTTAGCCACTGGACCACCAGAGAAATCCATCAATAAATGTTTTTCAGTGAATAAGACACTACTAGATGGGAGGACCTGCCAACACACAGGAGACATGCCTCCACTTCTTTCAATTTATGCTCTGGCTCTCAAGGTCAATTATAGAATAGACAGGGATAATGCTTGACCGCTCTACCCAAGGGGATGATAAATTCCCTGTGCCTTGGGGAATGGAGCTTTTGGGGAAAAAAAAGCTGGGTTTTTATACTTTACATGCATTGCGGGGATCAACGTAGAAGTGCACCCTGCCAATCTGAGACCACTGTCCTTTTCCAAATGTGCAAATCATTCTTCACACCACAAGCAAAAGCCTATATTTCCTGTAATTTATCCTATGCAGAGCAGTGAGAAGTAGTCCAGAGAATTCACCTGCACATCACCTCTGGTGTGTGGGACCAGATACCAGCTAACATCTAGAGCTCTTGCTATGTGCCAGTCCCCAGCTGATCCTTTGTGATCCCATGGACTGCAGCCCACCAAGCTCCTCCATCCACGGAATTCTCCAGGCAAGCATACTGGAGTGGGTTGCCATTTCCTTCTCTAGGGGATCTTCCTGACCCAGGGATCAAACTCAGGTCTCGTGCATTGCAGGCAGATTCTTTACCAACGGAGCCACCAGGGAAGCTCTTACATGTATCAACGCAATTAGTATTCCAACATCCGATTAAGCAGGTACAATTATCATCTTCATTTTACATCTGTGGGCACTGAGGCAAAGAGGTTAAGTCACTAGCTGGTCATTACCAGCCAGGACTCTATCCCAGATGATCTGGCTTTGATTGTAAAGAATCCACTCCTGCAGGACAAGTGGCACCAAGTTAAGGGAAATCTGGGTCAGGACACTGCAGGGCGGTCATCATGGTAGAGATCTATTGAAAAATTTTGGAGGCTGGAAAAATTGGGACTTAATAATATTAAGGTCTTTCTGTTCCCTATCAAAAAAACTGAGCAGACCTAACACTTTCAAACTGGTTTTAGAAAAGGCAGAGGAACCAGAGATCAAATTGCCGACATCTGCTGGATCATCAAAAAAGCAAGAGAGTTACAGAAAAACATCTATTTCTGCTTTATTTACTATGCCAAAGCCTTTGACTGTCTGGATCACAATAAACTGTGGAAAATTCTGAAAGAGATGAGCATACCAGACCACCTGACCTGCCTCTTGAGAAACCTGTATGCAGGTCAGGAAGCAACAGTTAGAACTGGACATGGAACAACAGACTGGTTCCAAATAGGAAAAGGAGTACATCAAGGCTGTATATTGNATGTGAAGAGTTGACTCATTGGAAAAGACCCTGATGCTGGGAGGGATTGGGGGCAGGAGGAGAAGGGGACGACAGAGGATGAGATGGCTGGATGGCATCACTAGCTCAATGGACATGAGTTTGAATAAACTCCAGGAGTTGGTGATGGACAGGGAGGCCTGGTGTGCTGCAATTCAGGGGGTTATAAAGAGTCGGATACGACTGAGTGACTGAACTGAACTGAACAATTTTTGATATTGT